CGGCAGGCCGCAGTTCCCATCAGCTTCAAGAAGCCTGAGTAATGGAAAGCTTAGGCCAGGTTCCACGCAGCTGAAGCAATCTGGCTCACCCAGGGTCATCCCAGTCCTCCAGCTCCGCCGTACATGTGGGATGACCCTCCCATGAGAGCCAACCTGACCCTGGGCGAGCCGGATTGCTTACAGGGAGAAGCTACGGGTTGCAGGAGGATGACTGCAAAAGGCACACGCGGATCCCTCAGCTCCTGGAGGTATTTACGGTGGAGCTGGAGGACTGGGATGGGCTGAAGCTAATGGGAACTGCAGCCCGCCGCCGCTGAAGAGTTTAGCTGAGCCACAAAGTTGAACATTCCTGCAAAGCAGTGGCGCGCCCCAAGCAAGGAAGCGGCGTGAGCTTTGAGGTTTTGAGTGTCTGTATTTCTATGGCTTGTGCGCAGAATTCACACCACACCTTCCCATTGGCGATCAAGGAGGCTAATCGTGGTAAATACAAATCATTGTTTTGAAAAATAAAGAGACGGATTACAATACTGATGATGAATGTAAATGAAAAGGCAGTTTCCAAAGCTTTCCTCCCCCACTGAGGGAAACCTGAGTCGCCTTGTGGGGCGGGGCACCAGTTGGGCTAGGCCTTGTGGTAAAAAAATAAGACACCCTCCAAAAATAAGCCCTAATGGGTTTGGACCAAAAATAAATATAAGACCCGGGCTTATTTTTGGGGAAACATGGTAGGAAACTGGCATGCTCTGAAATACACGGCTATCTTCCAGCATCACCTTCATTTCCAAAAATCTTCTGGGCCTCAAATGGATATGAAAGGGCAAATATAAATAGGAGCAGGAACATACAAATGGCAAGTAGTAATTTGGTAAATCAGAGTTTTTTGCATGTTTATATCCTTGGTAGCAGATAGTGGTGTGATTTGTCAGCGATAAGACTGATCAGTATAAATATGGGCTGCCGTAGTTTAGACTTACTGAAGTTTGCTCAGCAGCTAAGGGCAACCCCATATAGAGTGAATTACAGTAATTTAAATAAGAGATGCTCAGGGTATGACTTGCTGTCCTCGCTAAAGCTGGTCCTTAGGTTATAACCATTCACTCAGTGAACATTCAAAGTTATGACGCTGAACAAAGGGGGACTTACGTCCAGTCATCGGGCATTCTGACCATTGCATGGTCCCCACAATCATATGATCACAATCTGAGCACTCAGGTGCCCTGGTTATGATTACAATATTGCAGTGAGCTGTGGCCACATGGTCTTCATTTGGAACCTGCCCTGACAGCTTCCCACAAGCAAAGTCAAAAGAGAAACCAGCAGGGAAGACCAAAGTCACCCCCACTCTTTTTCTCCTAAGAGTCCTTCTGCAGAATATGAGATCCCAGGAATCTTGTATTCCACAGTACTCCCCACCCACCCATGTTCCTTAGACCCTGTCTGCAGTCCCTGCCAGCCCACCCATGCTCAGTAGCACTTGCCTGCAGCACTGCTTGCCTAGGATTTCAGTCACCTAAGTCCTCTGTTAACGACCCACATGGTCTCAGGGTTATGACAGTAACTGGGATTGCTGTTGCTTTACAACCACATCATTTAGGAATAAGGATTCCTGTCCTAACTGCTATTACAACCCAAGGATTACCTATGTACATCCTATTGCAGGAAACTGGCTGCCCTTTTTCAGTTGCATCTACTTTTGGATTCAGAGCCAATAAGGACACCAGTATGGGTAATCGAGGTTTTATTCCAGGGCAATATGAAAAACAAAGGAGAAAACAATCAAATACAACGTACAAAGAACACAAGGCTAACATCTAAGAAGCACTGAAAGTATACTCTTACAAAGAGCATATTACTAATATCTAAGAAAGACAAAGAAATCTTGCACTTTTTCTGTTTGTCAGGAAACTTCTCCATGTCAGCAAATGTATATTAACTCCCAGGTTAGGTCTGCTCTACAGTTCCACTCTACAGGGGCTTCTGACTGGTTTATATAAATCATAGGTAATAATCGTATCTATATACAGTATTTCTGCCAAGGACAGGGTGGATTGGTGCATCTTATCAAGCAGTCCACTTGTCCTTGCCAAGAACAAGGAGGAGAAGTTTATCTTTTATCTTCTCTTATCCTTGAAAGGCCATACTAAGGGCAAAGAGTGCCTGTTTACTTCAGGTGGTTCAAGCCAAGAACAGAAAGAGTTCCACCACTATTTTGAAGTTTGGAATCAACTAATCTAGGGTGGAAATACTCAAATGCATTTCAGTGTGCAGCTATTATATGGAAACATAGAATTTGGCACACAGCACTACTCATTTTTGCCTTGCCAATCTTCCAGTGGGACCTCCATTATGCTGGCTCATTAGCTTAAGCTAAGCAAAGACTTTCTTAGTCATGGCATTCAACTGTTCCTCTAGGACAGTGCTTTTCAACCTTTTCACAGATTTTATCACTTTTAGGATATGACAGTATTCAAGTACCACCATTCTTAGCAAGGTATCAAAAGTTTGATGACCAAAAATAAAAGGGGGGGAAAGTACTAGTTTTAATTTCTTTGGTGGCAGTTCCTTTGCTGAATCACTTTCCCTTTGCACTGACGATTGTATGATGAATTGATCTGTATTTATTAATATCCACCACTACCTTGGTGGTAAGGTGGCTGGTCGGCCCTTCTTCCTCTCTCTCTCTCTCTCTCTCTCTCTCTCTCTCTCTCTCTCTCTCTCTCTCTCTCTCTCTCTCTCTCTCTCTCTCTCTCTCTCTCTTTCACATCCTCCTTCGTTGATTCTTCTGCTTGTCTCACAGAAGCCTCCTCTTCTCTCTCTGTTTCTCCTCACTGCTTGCTGGGCTCTCCTTGCACAGCCTCTGCTCCTTCACTTGATCCTCTGCTTGTCTCACAGAAGCCTCTCTCTTTCCCCATAGTCTTTTTCTCCTTTCCCCCTTCCCTCCCGCCAAAACCTCCTCCTTTTATATTCTCTCCTCTCTCCCTGTCCTCCTCCTTTTCTTTTCTGGGTGCACCACTCTCGGGCTCAGGGAGAGCTCTAGCATCGGTCACTACCCCAGTCTCACTCTCCCACACAGTCACCCAAACCCCAACTGGCCATTGCACACACCACTGATCAGCTGGAGCTGTGCACGGTGATCCTGGGGCCTCTGCTGAGCCTCAGTAGCCCTGCAGTTCCAGCTGACTCTCTCACCCCAGGGCCTGTCTGCTGCTCCTGGTGATAGCGGAGGTTGTCGGAAGCGCCTATCAGCTGGAGCTGTGGGTGCAGATCCAGGGCCCTCAGCAGAGCCCCAGCAACACCTCAGCTCCAGCTGATTCTCTGCCTGAAGATTGTGTGTGGTTGCCGGCCACCCCTCCCCCCAGGCCGCTGGAAGCACCAATCAGCTAGAGCCGTGTGCACTGATCCAGGGCCCTCAGCAGAACCCCAGCTCCAGCTGACTCTCCCCCAGGCTTCTTCCCGCTGCTTCAGCTCATTTTCCCCCACACACACTTGTCTATGTCGCATACCACCTGCCAGGTGCCAAAATACCACTCTAGAAGGTGCTATAACTTCAGGAGTTCCAAAGGTGTTTTTCAAAGTTCTGAACTGAAGAAGCTTTTTGGATGAGAAGCCAAACATCTTCAAGGAAAAAACAAGGGAAGTCCAGTTGCCTTTTGCAAAACGCTTTTAGGACAACCGTGACCTGGACGACTGAGAATCTCCATAGACATTTATGAATTCAGGAAGATTCCCAAGTTGCCAATCTGCTCTCTGTGTAGCTTAATTTCAATAAGCTTGAAAATGTTATAATCACAGAAAATCTTGGCTTCTAAATTAGCAGCCACCCCATCTTGTTCTGGTTGATTCTGAGTCTGTTTCTCCCCCTCCAAATCCTGACAGCCTCCAGGCACTGCTCAGGACACTTTTTGCATCTTCAGTTTGTCTGAAATGGAGATGTACAAGTGGGGATCATCAGCATATTGATGACACCACTTTGTGAACTCACATGACGTCTTTCAACTTCGTATAGTAGTAAACAAGATAGGGAAGACCCCAAGTCACTCCATAATAGAGTGTCCTACTGACTCTTCCCTCACCAGATTGGATCCTCCCCAGTACATGGGGTGGAGCTATAGTTAAAATAGTACCTACAATTCCCAATCTTTTAACTATTAAAGAAATATGAATACAAGAGAGAAAAGAATAAAATCAAGACAATTAGATTTTTTTTTCTTTTAATGACACTCTAATGCCTTGCATCGGTTGGAGTTGGGCCGACTGAATGGAGCCAGGCATTTAAATGTCCGGATGCCCGTCCTGACGCCTACGCGGAGTTCACAGCAAATATTTTCTCTTTGCACCCACAGAGGGGAACATCTGCCACTACCTAGGATTGAACTCACAGCCTCCTGATTGTGAGGTGAAAGACAATTGGAATTACAGTGAAGAAAAAAAATCAGCTTAATAATTGAAAACTATGGTAAAAGAGTAAATCTTCTCATGAACCTATTCATATATAACCTCATTCCTGCAACTGGATGTGTCTTTTCTGAGAAAAGCCCAATAAGTGTTCTTTAAAAGAAACTTCAGTTTCATCCATGGTTCCTAACAATCATTTCAAGTTAGTTTTACTCAGGTTTAATTCTGGTTGTCTTCCAGTAGACTGGATCCCATGAGCATAAGATCTTAATGCAAGACTTTGATTCCAACGACATTGAATCCAGACCTTTACTGGCTCTCTTTTTGTCTCATGTTCCTTGTTCAAAGCATCAGAGACTACCTAATAGCACTTCATGTATTATTCAGAATTTTACCTTGTAGGTATAAGTCTGTTACAATTTAACCAATTTTTTTAACCCACAGGAAATAGATATAACAATACTACTATGAAGAAAGCCAGAGGAACATTAACAGAAAACAAAAATACATTTCTAGAAAATCAAAACTATTTTAATTTGGAAAAAAAGGAGAAATGAAAGTTGAAAACTAAGGCACAATCACCAAGTATTTCGTCAGCTGAAAGGGGTGAATGGTTGATTTCAAAGCACTTTTAAGGAATCAAAAGTATCGCACAAAATGGACAAGTAATCCCACTATGGACAAGCCAATAAGAATGAAAAGAACTCCAGCGCTGAAATACATGGGGCCCAATCTGTGCAAATAGAAGGGAAAAAAAACCCAGCTAGAGTTAATCGAGGCTGGCTGTTGCCACAGTAATGTCAGTACTCTCACAAATAGCTTCCATAGTAACTTGGTAAATAGACTGAGACAAACCCTGCAGATTCGAGCTGCATTACTGGAGAAGGATTTAAAGAATACCCATCTAGCAAAATTAACTGATTGACTTGCAACTACTAGCGTTATCACCAGACATGGTATGCCCTTGAGCTGATCTAGATAGGCACAATTCTATACCTTATCTTCTTGGACTAACCACGGAAGGATAGGCAATTTCTGGCGGTTTCTTTTCTTTTCTTAAAATACCAGGGGGAGATGATGTAGAACAGGGATGGGGAACGATGGCCCTTTTATGACTTATGGACTTCAAGTCCCAGAATTCCTGAGCCAGCCATGTTGGCTCAGCAATTCTGAAAGCTGAGGTCCACAAGTCATAATGGGGCCGTAGTTCCCCACCTCTGATGTAGAATGAAAGAGCTGTTCCAAAATGCTGTGTTTTCGTTATCTTAATTATCAATGAAGTCCTTAATCTGTGTCAAATCTATATCCCTTGAGAGCTCATGGGGTTAAATATAAAATTAGTATATTCCTGGGGGCTACTTAGCAGTTAGGAAGTTGGGGGAGGGAAACAACCTAATTTGTTTTATGCAAGGGATGGTTTTTGTACTGGAAAACATTAGCTTGCAGTATGTTACCTATCTACAGCCTAAAGCAATCAAATTCAGAGATGGATTTGTGTTGCTCTCAAGGCTACAAATTCCACCTTGAAGATCAGAAAAATTACTTGTCTGAGAGACAATCTATTTGACGTACTTCACACAAGGATTACTCACCTTCTTTCAGCAGAATGCGCATATCCTCTAAAGTATTGATAGCGAGCATAAAGGTAAATTAGTCCACAGAAGGCAGCCAAAACTACAAAGAAGGCAATAATCAGATACTTAGAGTTTAACAAATATTAATTTCAATAAGAAATTCATAAAAAGGAGGGCCTTTTTTCTTTAAAAAAAAGTCTGAGGCATCTCAAGATCAGGTCACAAGTACAGCAAATTAGGTTTGTAGCTGGGATACATCCTCATTTTTGCATTGATGGAGTGATATATATTGATGTGTGTGTGTGTGTGTGTGTGTATATATATATATATATGTTTTCTGAGGTTTTCGCGGGTGTTTGTATGTAGGTCTTTGGTTATTCGGGTTTTCTCCCACGTAAAATTGGAAGTGTCTTGGCGATGTTTCGACGAAGTCTCATTCGTCATCTTCAGGCTGGTGTTTTTGGCTTCGTGCTTCTAGGAGCAATGTGTGATAGCAGCTGTTTCTTCCTTTTAACTGCCAGTGGGGGTATGAACTGATTGGGTGGGAGCTTGGCTGTGTTCTGATTGGGTGGAGGTGTGTTCTGATTGGTTAGGAGCTTGGCTGTGTTCTGATTGGATGGGGGTTGACTGTGGTCTGATTGGATGGGAGTGTGTTCTGTTTGGGAGGGGGGCTTTGTTGTGCTCGGGTTAGTCTGAGTTTCAGGGGGATTTGAGATGGTGGGCTGCGTTGCTGCTGTTTGGCTTCGCGTTCGTGGTCGTGCCACCTCTTCATGGTGGGTGTCAGTTTGTTTCATGTATGGATTGGAGGGATTTAAAGTGGCTAATGATGCAGCTGTGGTCTGGCTTCTGGTTTGTGGTCGTGCCTCATCATCGGTGTGGGTTTGGGTTTGCTTTTTGTGTGGATGTTTGGTGGTGACATCCTGTGTGGTTTTCGTGAGTGTGGGTCTGGTGTCATTCTTTGTGTTAGGGACTCATTTGTCAATAAGGGCGGGTTTCCAAATGGCTGGTAGGCAGGAGGTATCATCTCGTTTATTCATGCTGTGTGGGCGTTTTTCTATCTCGATGGCTTCTCTGATTATTCTGTTGTTAAAGTGTTCAGTTTTGGCGATAGTTCTGGTTTTTTTAAAGTCAATTTCATGTCCTGTGGCTTTGAGGTGTTGGACTAGGGAAGAAGTTGGTTCCTCTTTTTTGAGTGAGTTTTTGTGTTCTTCAATGCATGCACATATTCTTCTGTTGGTTTGTCCGATGTATGTGGTGGGGCAGGCAGTGCATGGGATTTCATATACTCCTTGATTTTCTAACTCAATTTTGTCTTTGGGGTTTCTTAGGATGGTGGATATTTTTTGGTTTGTGCAGAATGCTGTCTTGATGTTGTGTTTGTGGAGGATCTTGCTGATTCTGTCTGTGGTGCCTTTTATGTATGGGAGGAGGGCTTTGCCATTTTCTTGTTCTATGTCTTGGATTTTAGTTGGGGTTTCTTTTTGGATTAGGTTGGTAATCTTGTTTCTTTGGAATCCGTTGGATGTTAGTACGTTAGTGAGAGTGTGTAATTCGGTTTTTAGGTGTTGTTCATCAGCTAATCATTTTGTTCTGGAGATGAGTGTCTTGGCTACGGAGTTAATCTGTGCTGGGTGGTGGTGTGAGAGTGTGTACAGATAGCGGTTTGTGTGTGTTTTCTTCTAATAGATGGTGTGTCCTAGGGAGCCATTGGATTTCTTGTAGACTAAGATATCCAGGAAGGGAAGTTGGTTGTTACCTTCTGTTTCCATGGTGAACTGTATTTTGGGATGTAGGCTGTTGAGGTGTGTGAGGAAGTTGTCCAGTTTTTCTTTCCCATGTGGCCAGATTATGAAGGTATCGTCTACGTATCTGAGCCAGAGTTTGGGTTTGTGATCAGATTTTTCTAGAGCTTGGGTTTCAAATTGTTCCATGTAGAGGTTTGCAATAACAGGTGAGAGAGGTGATCCCATGGGTGCTCCTTCTATTTGTTTGTATTTTTGTCCATTATAGATGAAGTATGTGTTGGATAGGCAGTGGTTGGTCATATCTAGGATGTGCTTGGGGGGGTTATATTTGTTTTGGATAGCTGTCAAGGCTTCTTTGATTGGTACTTGGGTGAAGAGGGATATGACATCAAAGCTCACGAGTAGGTCGCTGAGCTGTAAGTTTTGTTTCTTTATGATCTCTATGAATTGGAATGAGTTTTTTACGTGTGAGGTGATGGATGCTGCATAGGGCTGTAGTTGTTTGGCGAGAAATTTGGCTAGGTTTTGTAGAGGTGAGCCTATGGAGCTAACTATGGGTCTAAGAGAGGTTCCTTCTTTGTGTATCTTGGGCAGACCATAGAGCTTAGGGCATCTGGATGATTTCTCTCTAGGAATGATTCTTTGCTGGATATCTTCGCTGATGGGGGAGGCTTTTATTTTGGATCTAGTGGTTTTTTCCAGGTAGGTGGTGGGATCTGTGTTTAAGGGTTTGTATGTGGAGTCTTGGAGTAGGTTGGTTAATTTGGTTTGGTAGTCAGATGTGTTCATAACCACCGTGACATCTGCTGGTAGGATTATTATGCTGGTGTCTTCTTTCAGGTTAAGTAGTGCTGTCTGTTCCTCTTTGTGTAAGTTGCTTTTGGGTGGCTTGCTGGTGCAGAGGATGTTGGTGATTTCGAGTCTGATTCTGTTAGCGTCGTTGGGGTTGATTTTGGTCAGGCTGGTTTCAACTCTGCATATAATGGTTTCAGTGGGGATGTGTTTGGGAGCGACTGCAAAGTTGAATCCTTTGGAAAGGACATTGGTTTCGGCTTTGGTATATATATACACACACACATACACAGTGAAGGGGGGTAGTCTTGCCTTTCACCAGGCAAAAAACAACCTTGCCTAGATATTCATTCACCAGCTACTTGGAGTGGTGGAAACTTTTACAGCTTAAGGGGACTCGCACCTGCCTTGCTTTAACAATGAAACAGACAATAAAATTCTGCAAAAGTCACTACTTAAAAAGATCTTTTGTGACAACTGATTGAGAACTAATTAATAAAAGAGTCCTTAAATCACAATTTCTCTATCAACCTTTATTTTTTTACTTATAAACTGTCTCAATTGCCAAAGTGACTCTAGGAAATATACCTTTCTGAAAAATCAGAAAAAAAATCATTAACAAAACCAATATCATAAAAATATTTGGAAAGGAAAAACACCAAACCTGTTCTTTGGTCTGCTTGCTAGCCAGGTCTGTAGAATTTAAATCATGTAAAGGAGCACTGTTATCTAGATGCTGCCATTACCTATTAGCACAACTGTAAAGATTTTTAGGCAGAAACAATAGCTTTAATTCTTGGCTTCCCATGTACCTTGAGCCTACAGAATATAGTACTTGTTCTTCCCTACACTAGCCTGATCCAGATGTGATCTATTTTGCCCAAACTTCTTGTGAAGCTTCTGTCAAATGTGAGATTATAGCAAGACACAATAACTGTGTCCTTCAATAGCAATAGTGTCTCACATATACAGGTAGTCCTCAACTTACAACAATTCATTTAGTGACTGTTCAAAGTTGCAATGGCACTAAAAAAGTGAGTTATGACTGGTTTTCACACTTACAACCTTTGTAGCATCTCCCATGGTGACATGATCAAAATTCAGATGCTTGGCAACTGACTCATATTTATGACGGTTGCAGTGTCCCGGGGGAAGTCACGTGATCTCCTTTTGTGACCTTCTGACAAGCAAAGTCAATGGGAAAGCCTATTCACTTGATAACCATGTTACTAGCTTAACAACTGCAGTGATCCACTTAACAACTGTGGCAAGAAAGGTCGTAAAATGGGGCAAATTCACTTAACAAATGTCTTGCTCAGCAACAGAAATTTTGGACTCAATTGTGATGTCAAGGATTATCTGTAATTAATCTTCTTAAGCTTGTTCTCCTGTGTATTATCCTATTACATCATTTACAGGTAGTGAATTTTAGATTAACAGTGGAAAGCATCAGATTGGCCATAGGTACCCCACAGCATTTTGGGGCAATCAGATAAAGTGGGAGCCCCTGTGCAGGTCATACCAAAGTCAGTAGGAGATACCGAAAACACCCCAGGGAAGCCCAAGGTATATCGTCTCTACCACTTGCAAGCTTGAGGCTTTCCTTGATGTAAAGTCTACCCGGCTACTGGATTTTAATACTTAACTATTTATTTACAATGCAGTTACATCAGATAAACATTAAAAATAAAAATAAAAAGCGGTGGGGGGGATTTTTAAAAGTTGTCCAGTTTCTCACTTATTCTTCTATATTTTTATTTGCAGAAAGGACATCACAATTGAGAGATTCTGAATTAGGATTTTATCTCTTACCTTGATGGGAAAAGATTCCAGCCACCCATAAGAGGGAGAGAAATATTGGGAAATATTCTGAGCAATTTGCTCTAATAAAACAAAGGAGAAAACAATCAGATTGCTGCTGATGGGGAAAAATAATTGCGACGGAACAAATCTGTCACATTTGCTCTGATTCTCATTTTCTTGACCTCTATGTTCATTTCAGCCCACTGCTGCATCCATTCACAAATTCATCTCAGACCACTATAGACAAACACGTGTACACATTATCAGAACATTTCTCTATGCTATTTTGCAAATCACAATATTTTTGCAACTCATGCATTATTTCCCTACTTCTGAAAAGTGGATCTTTTTGTTCCAGTCTAAAAAAGAAATCACTATGATTATGTCCTTATTGCTGAATTGCATGCTTGGTGAGTAGTAACAATTGCAAATTCCTTTTGATTATACGGATAAAAGGTTTTCCTTTTAAAAGTGGGCTTACATTCTAAAATCTGACCAACTAGAGACAAGGGAAAAAATGGGACCGAAATGGAGGTTAAAAAAACCTGGAAGATGTGATCATTACAGTATTGAGGTATAATTGCATAGAAACTGAACATTTGCCTCAGAAGTTTTATGGAAACAATAAGTTTTGAAGAGGAATTGCTTATAATTGGTTCTAATCGTTATCATTCTATAGCAGAATCTCTTTTGGCAACAAAAATAAATCGTTACAACAACAAAGCATCACAGGAATAAAGCACCACACTCCATGCAAGGAAATTAGAAAGTGAAGAAAAATAAAATGAGCTTTGTCTGCTGCTGGAAAGATAACAAAGTAAGCATTAGTAGACCCATTTGAAGATGGTATTCCCTAGCGGTTGCAGCTTGGGGATGGGGGGGGATTTTTAAAATGCCATATTCTAGAGTTTATTGCCCAAAGCATGTGAAGATACTCAAAATTGAGCCTCTGATTATAGGTTAGGTACCACTATACGGGGTAGGGTGATATGTCTGTAAAGATCATGGTGTCTAGCATGAGGACCTTATTGGTGAATAAAGTAGACCTGGGATCTGTTCCAACATTGGCATAAAGGAAGCAGAACTGCTCATTTCCATGTATATCCTCCTACGTACCTTATTTTGCAACTGAACTGCAATAGATTGAATAGAAGGAGTTTCATTATCACAAATAAACCATTATCTAACCTGATCTGACCTTTTGATCATTTCCTCCCTTAAAGGGAAAGTGCAACTAACTTCTCCTAGAAGGGAAGGTTGAAAAGTGTGGGCATTTCCAATGAAAAGGCTCTCCCTTATTATATACCCTATCCAAACCACAAATAAAACAGGAAACTGGAAACAGAATTTTATCATCTGATCTCTGAGTAAGGATGAACTGCAAAAGTTAACAGCTAGTTAAATGTCCAGAAATAAGCAGGAAGTCAGTGCAGTTCACTCAGTATAAAAAGAATATATATTCCCTCTGGCAGCATTTTGAACCAATCAAACTCACATTTTGGAGCTGCCAGTCATCTTAGGAACATCTTGTGGCAATAAGTAATTAGCAAGTGCACATCTCATTGGAAGCGCCAAAGTCAGAAGATAGCAGGTTAAAAATTCAGTCCATTTGATTTTAAAGATAGCAAATACTTCTGTTTATGAACAAGTGCAAAGAACTGGACACTTTTAGTTGACTTGATGGGTCTGGAGCTGTGTTTCTCAACCTGGCCACCCTCCAGATGTGTGGGCATCACCTCCCAAAATTCTCAGCAGAGGCCATGCTGGCTAGGGAATTTGAAGGTTGCCCCATGTCGGAGCAAGTTATCTGGAACATCCCATATTAGGAACAAACTGGGAATCCCTCCACTATGGAAAGCAGGATACTTTAGCAAAAAAGCCACAGCCAAGAAAACAAGGCCCTCATTTCCTCCCTCTCTTTGCTCAGTGCAAATCAGCCCCTCCCACTGGTACTTTGCAAGGGAGATGGGTGTTTGTCTGAAATGTGTAGAATGCAGTTAGTAGTTATCACCAAACGGTATTTTATTATGAAAAACCTGTGTTTCCCTTTTCTCATTGAACACAGCGTTACAGCCATGTGGAAATTCAGCAGGACAGATTCCATTAACCACTTGTGACAAGCTTTACCATGCCTTGAACAATTACTATTTATTTATAATCCACCTTCATTATTTTTATGATTAACTTGAGGCAATGAACATACCTAATACTCATTTCTCCTCCTCTTTTCCCCACAATAATAACTCTGTGAGGTGGGTTGGGCTGAGAATGAGTGACCAGCCCAAAGTCTCCTGCCAGACTTCATGCCCAGGGTAGGAATAGAACTCATTGCCTCCTAGTTTACCAGCCTGATGCTTTAACCACTAGACCAAACTGGCTCTAAAGCTTTGCTCCTGGAATTATGCTGTCCCATAGAAAATGTAAGGAAGGAGTACATTTTCTAGTGAGAAGGAGTGGGGTGACATGACAGCAGTCTTCCAGTATTTGAGGGGCTGCTGCAAAGAAGTGGGGGGTCAACTATTTTCCAAAGCACCAGAAGGCAGGAGAAGCACTGGATGGAAACTAATCAAGGAGAGACGCAATCTAGAACTAAGGAGAAATTTCTTAAGAATGAAAACAAGCAGTGGAAACAGCTTGCCTTCAGAAGTTGTGGCTGCCCCATCACTGGAGGCTTTTAAGAAGAAACTGGACAGCCACTAGTCTGGAATGGTATAGGGCAGGGGTAGGCAACCTTGGCTCTTTTATGACTCGTGGACTTCAACTCCCAGAATTCCTGAGCCAGCGATGCTGAGGGGAAAGAGAGAGGTTTCCAAGCTGAGCCATGCTGGCTCAGGAATTCTGGGAGTTGAAGTCCATGAGTCATAAAAGAGCCAAGGTTGCCTACCCCTGGTATAAGGTCTCCTGCTTGAGCAAGAGGTCCCTTCCAGCTCTGTTCTTCTGAATTTCTGAACATTGTGTTTCATTTTATGTCATTAGAGAGGATTTGTACAGGCATTTTCTGCTTAGAATGTGCAACATTCTAAAACAGTTTTAATACCTTCGTGGAAAGCAAAACAAGAGACATTTTCCGGACCTCCCAGTTGCTCCATATATCAATATTTGTCAAGATCCTCCCTTTTGTCTAGAATTAGAAGAGTGGCATTTTAATGCCCGATGTTCATTGCAGAACTGCAGTCTGAAAATAGGTTCATGAGAAAAATGAAAGGAAGTTGAAAGTTGTGGCAAGGGCATACTTGAGAAAGTGGAGTAAAGAAATTGCTGAAGTGGCTTGACCATGCAGAAAGAATGAATGAAAATCAAACCACAGAGGAAATACAAATGAAGAGAGAATCAACAGATTGAGAGGAAGAAAGCTGACAAAGTCACAATTGGATGGAGAGGATGAGATCCTAAAAAAAAGAGACAAAAGAGAACCTCTAAAGCAGGGATCTGCAACCTTGACAACTTTAAAATTTGTGGACTTCAGCTCCCAGAATTCCTCAGCCAGCATAGCTAGCTGAGGAATTCTGGGAGCTGAAGTCCACAAATTTTAAAGTTGTCAAGGTTGCAGACCCCTGCTTTAAAGAACAAAAAGTAAGAGGTCACCAAGTCAGAAAGCCTGGAAAGTTCTAGCAAATGTGTTAGTATAAACTAGATCCAGCTGTGCTTTCTTCTCCCCCCATTTCATAGTTTATTTGAGTTTTTCCTTACTTCTTTTATGCACTTTGCCTAACATAATTTACCTTGAAAGGGAATGGCTTGATTGCTGCTTCTAAATGCATTTCAAAGGGGGGGGGATGTTTTGTTTTGTTTTTTTTTAAAAGCAGCATTTAGCTTACTGTGCTCTGAAGATCCTTTCAAATTCTGGTGGGCCTGAAGTGATGGGAGGAGAGACTTTGAACTTCCTCCGAAAGACGATCACCTGAATGGCAAAATAGGCTGGATGGGGACAAAAGGTAAAGAGAGGCTCATTATTTTTTCTGTTGAAGGAAAACAGCTGGGTCATTTGCATCAGCAAACACTGCTCACAACTGAATATACAAAAGCAGAACACAAGGAAAGCCTCAGAAGGATCCACAGCCATCACTTGATTCTTATCAGCTTCTTCCTCCCTTTCCACATTAATGGGCTGGGCAGAATTTTACCTTCAAGTGGTCAGATTACCCAACATTTCCAACAAAAGGATTCTATTGTACATCTGTGGGCATTTATTCTATTTATTTCTATAGGCCTAATGGTGAAGACTCTCTCCTCCCACTCGGAAGGTTGAGAGTTCAATCCTTGGTAGCGGCGAATAAGGTGCAAATAAAAAATATCTGCTGCGAACTCCTATGTAGGTATCAGGAAGGGCACCTGGCCAGTAAATTCTCATCTCCATCCAGTCTCCCTGACTCTACCCTGAATAGAGACTACAGGGTCATAAAAAGGGAGTGTTTTTATTTGTATCCTGCCTTTATTATTTTTTACAAATAACTCAAGGCGATGAACGTACCTAATACTTCCTTCTCCTATTTTCCCAACAACAACAGCCCTGTGAGGTAGGTTGGGCTGAGAGAAGGACTGGCTCAAAGTCACCCATCTGGCTCTCACAGCTTAGCGGGGTCTAGAACTCACAGTCTCTTGTTTTCTAGGCTGGTGCATCAACCACTTGACTAGACCAATCACTTTTGCTTTGGCTTACTTGTCATGGGGACAAACATGACAGATTCTTCAGTGGCTAGGAAGATGATTGACAGATAGAGCCCCAGTTCTGTAAGGGCCGCTTGGGTTGAGCAACTGTGGAAGGTTAATGAAACCCTCCCTTCCCAAGTGGGGAAACTGCCCCCCCACCTCCAAACTCTTTCCTCTCCTACCATCTCTCTTTTCTGCTGCTGTCCTATGATGTTATTTAACTTTATCTCGGCAGTATTTTAAAATGCTTTCTGTGGCATCTATTTCAATGTTTTATTTTACATTTTTTAAAAAATTAAATGTAAAAACACTGTATTTCTTTTGCATGTAGCCTTACAGCTAATAGTTATGGAGCCTTTATGAAACGCCTGGAATAAATAAAACAACGTATTTTGTCACCACTAAAGTCTACAAACATGCCATTCTTAAAGGGTTAATGTAATGTTTTTATTATTGTTGTTGCAGATCAACACCATCAAGGTTATTAGGAGGGAGTCAAGCTATTTTCCAAGGCGCCTGAAGGAAGGACAAGAAGCAACGGATGGAAACTAATCAAGGAGAGAAGCAACCTAGAACAGTGTTTCTCAACCTTGACAATTTTAAGGCATGTGGACTTCAACTCCCAGAATTCCACAGCCAGCAATGCTGGCTGTGGAATTCTGGGAGTTGAAGTCCACATGCCTTAAAATTGTCAAGGTTGAGAAACACTGACCTAGAACTAAGGAGAAACTTCCTGACAGTTAGAACAATTAACCAGTGGAACAACCTGCCTCGATAGGGTTTCCTGCCTGAGCAGGGGGTTGGACTAGATGACCTCCAAGGTCCCTTCCAACATTATTATTATTATTACTATTACTATTACTATTATTATGGATCATCGCACAGTCAGCCAGATGTTCAGACTGGATTTGGCATTTTGTCTACCTATCGAGTCCTTACCAAGGACCTGGGATATGCAGATGTGGATGTTTGATGGTATTATTATTATTATTATTATTATTATTATTATTATTATTATTATCATTATCATTATCATTATCATTATCATTATCATTATCATTATCATTATCATCATCATCATCATCATCATCATCATCAAGTAAAAAGTAAAGAAAACATAACATAAAGTACTGACAAAGGTGTCCCTGGAAACATTAAATAAAGTGTATGTGTGTCTGTGTTTTACTTAACATTTTCACTAGCCACTTCATATCCTAATATTCATATAGTAGGAACAAATTGCAAGGAACAAATTAAAAAGCTTTGACTCCACACCTTTAAAATCTGCAATCTTCCCTCAGACTGAGGCCAATTCTAAAAGGCGTGCATTCCATTGTTTGGGAGCGGCAGACAGCCCTTTTAATGACTTCTAAATAGCAAGCCAGTCAGTAAGACATTCCAAGGCAAAAATGCTGAAATCAAAATACGTAACAGAGGCCAGAAAACAATTTTCAATTTGCAGCCTTACACAAATTGACGGTGTGATTTGACGCATACTTTTTTCAACTTTTAATCCTCAAACGGAGATTAAAACCATTCAGTTAAAAAAAAGATGCAGTATTTGAATGTTAAAACCACCACAGAACCAAGCCCTAATAAAATAGAACATTTCATTTAAAGGTGCAATTCATTAATATGTTTTGAATTGCTGTGCACTGTGATGTGCACAGTCATGTTACAGTGGAAAATGTTAAAGGTATTATGTTAGGCAAGAAGAAGAAGGGAAACAAAGGATATCAAATGCATTTTTAGACATGGATCAATTACTGTACTGAATTTGAAGTCTGCCAAGATATTGTAAGAAACATATAGCATATTTCAGGACAGCATTGCTTATTACCTCCTCTTGGTTGTCACCTGCTGGGGAAGCAACAACAAAGCACACTTAAGGAACTTTGTCCCAAACCAATATTCTCCTCACAATTTCCACTAGCCTTGCTATCTACCCAGGGCAAGTATGAGAAAGGGCAATCAAAAAATTGTTGTTCTTTGTCCTTTTGGTTTGGCATTTGTTAAACAGCACCAAACATATTAGGTCCAGTTCTGGGCCCAGCAACTTAGGAAGAACATTTGACCCACTGGAGTGGTGCCAGAAGAGAGTAACCAAGGCAACAAGGGACCTGGAAGGAAAAACTCAGGAGCAGTTGAGGATGTTTACCTTGCAGGAGAGAATGTGTGAAGACTTGACAGTTATTCAATAGCTGAAAAGTTCTTATGTAGGTTCTTAAAAAACTCTCTGATAAATTGAAAGACAAAAAGGACAAATATAAAAAGTGGAAAGAGGGCAGAATAAGGCAGAATATCAGCAAATAGCCCAAGCCTGCAAAGATGAAGTGAGGAAAGCTAAGGCTCAAAATGAACTAAGGCTTGCGACCAAAGTCAAAAATAACAAAGCTTCTTTCAACATGTAAAAAACAAGAAAAAAGTTAAGGAAATGATTGGTCCATTAGTGGGAGAAAGTGGCAAGAAGGTGACAAGCAACAGGGAGAAAGCAGAACTACTTGTTTTTTGCATCCGTCTTTACACAAAGGGAAAAAACAGTCCAACCTATCAAAAACAGTATCGTAAAGAACAGATTAGAAACACAAGTTAATATAGGCATGAAAATGGTAAGTGAGCACCTGTCCACCCTAGACGAGTTCAAATCACCAGGACCAGATGGATTACACCCCAAGGTTCTGAAGGAATTGGCAGATGTGATCTCAGTACCACTGGACTATATCTTTCAAAGATCCTGGAGCACTGGGGAACTGCCAGAGGACTGGAAAAGAGCTGATGTAGCTCCCATCTTCAAAAAAGGAAAAAAATGGAACTACAGACCTATCAGCCTAACCTCAATACCTGGGAAGATTCTGGAAAAGCAACGAATCAGTGAACACCTATACTCTAGAGGGAAACAAAGTCATTGCCAAAAGCCAACATGCCAGACAAATCTTATTGCATTCTTTGATCAGATGACAAAATTAGTGGACCAGACGAATGCTGTGGATATAGTTTACTTGGACTTCAGTAAGGCATTTGATAAAGTAGACCACAACCTACTACTTGATAAGATAGAAAAATGTAGGTTAGACAGCATCACCACCAGATGGATTCATAGCTGGCTGACCGGCCATACTCAGCGTGTGGTCTTCAATGGAATTGCATCTACATGGAGGAAAGTGTGAGGTGGGGTGCCCCAGGGCTCTGTTGTGGGCCAGTGCTCTTCAACATCTTCATCAATGATTTGGATGGGGAACTCATCAAATTTGCAGACAACACCAAGGTGGCAGAAATAGCCAACACTCCAGAAGATAGGCTTAAGATACAGAAGGATCTTGACAGATTGAACATTGGGCGCTATCTAACAAAATGAAATTCAGTGGTGAAAAAAGTAAGGTTCTACATTTAGGCAAGAAAGATCAAATGCACAGGTATAGTACTATAGGTGGTATCTTGCTCAGTAGTAGTAACTGTGAGAGGGATCTCGGAGTCCTAGTGGACAATCACTTAAATATGAGCCAGCAGTGTGCTGCAGCTGCCAAAAAGGCTAACACAGTGCTAGGCTGCATTAACAGAGGGATAGAATCAAGATCACGTGAAGTGCTAAAACCACTTTACAATGCCTTGGTAAGGCCACACTTGGAATACTGCATCCAGTTTTGGTCACCACGATGTAAAAAAGATGTTGAGACTCTAGAAAGAGTACAGACAAGAGCAACAAGGATGATTAGAGGACTGGAGGCTAAAATATTTAAGGAACGGCTGCTGGAATTGGGTATGTCTAGTTTAATGAAGAGAAGGACGAGGGGGGACATGATAGCAGTGTTCCAATATCTCAGGGGCTGCCACAAAGAAGAGGGAGTCAAGCTATTCTCCAAGGCGCCTGAAGGCAGGACAAGAAGCAACGGATGGAAACTAATCAAAGAGAGAAGTTTAGTTTTGTTCTTGTATTGGACAAACTAAACATCTCTAATGCTGGCAATAGACAACCACTGTTTCTATAACCTAGTCTTTGGCTTTTGCCCCTCCAAATAGCTGAAAGAAACCATGAGCTACTTTCTATTTTATAAAAGGCTTATTAGAATATCACCAATCATTTTGGCTCTTTGCCTAACCTACTGCTAAATTTCTTATACAATGTACATTTCGTAGCTACCTTAATGACCCAGTTTTTTTTTTACAATCTATAAAGCTATATTCAGTTTGTTTCTGTAACAGCAGAACACATCTCTTACCTTGTTCCAGCACACCCAAAACAGTAACAGTGGACAATAGAGCTATATGGTGCAACATCTTAGTCTTCCAAAGCACACCAGGAAAGTAAATCAGCTCAAAGCTAGGCACTCCTTGAAACTTCTCTGCTTTTAGTCATAATTCTGCAGTGCTGTTAGTATAATTAGGCAGTGGATGCCTTCATTTCCTCTTTTAAATAGCTGGTTAGTTAACTCCTTACTTGCTGGAGCTGTAAATGGATCCCATCAACTACATGTTTCTTTGGAAAAAGATAAACCTTGTGGACCCATAAAAGGAAAAGTTTCTTGCAACTGGCCCTTTTATGACTGGAAAAGGTGATCATCTGAACATTTTATAATATTTCTTATAACTGGTCCTTTTATGGAGCAGATTGCAAAACCTGGTCCATTTCTATATCTTTTGGGGCATGGTCTGGTTTCTCAACCAATCACACAAAGGAAGTTGAGGAACTAGGCAAAGGGGATGATAGGGAACAGTCTTCCCCACCTTAACCTTGTTATTCCTCTTTGTTAAAGCAATGCAAATTCTATTCAAAGTAGTGTGCGTGTTTTTGGAGTGGTGGATGGAATTAAAAGACAAAATATACACATTTGAATATGAGAGTGAGTAAGAAGTACTGTCTCCCTTTTATAAATGACCTGAAGATGGATAACCACCACAGAGAAACATTTGTTTAGCCTACACACAGCTTGACCTAATTTCCTTTTCTGTTATTTTCACTTGTGTCACTTCCCAAAGTTAGTTTGGTCTTTCTCCTCCTCTTCTCTTACACACATATTGGTAGGCAGAGGTGAGGAAATTGCCTAATTGTCTAAAGAAACTTTACCTTAATCTCTCACTTTAACTGGGATCTCCTCTGATGCTACTTTTGTAATTTCTGCTGTTTTATTTAAGGTTCATCATTGTGTACCCTGGAGTATTTCTAAGCAATTTATTCCCTCACAGCTTTTAGTCCTTATACCTGTGCTACATGTGAAATTTAACATTTATTAAGGAATTTGAATCTTCCGCTTAAACGGTGGCTACTAGTTTGAGCACTTAAACAGTAATTGAAAGGCACAAACAAGAAATAGTCTTAAAACTTATATAACCCGTGGAACAACATATTTAAATGTTCGAGTCTTTTACAGTAGAGTCAGCTTGCTTTGAAAAAGAATCTGTGTTCTTAAAATTATTTTAATACTTGGGAAAAATATTTTAATATTCATTTAACGCCTTAGTAGCAGTTGTGGGATTCAAATATGTGAACAACCGGTTCTCTGTGTGGGTGCCACTTCCGGAAGTCCATACTGGACCTGGGCAACAAAAAATTAGCTACCGGTTCTGCTGAACTGGTGCGAACTGGCTGAATTCCATCATTGCTTATTAGGGATAATTAATATAGAGCTTTCCCTGGTTTTTCAGGTTCTTTGTTCAGTTTTTTTTAAATTAATGCTAATTAGCATGCAACTGAGCAATATATCCTTAATGACTTAATGAGACTGCTTCTGAATCCTAGGTATCTTTCTAGCCCATCCTTTGTTGGACTTAGAGAAGCCATTGCTGCTGGCCAAAGTTGACTGCCTTGAAAGGTCAGAAAAATCATATATTTAACAAGAAGCTGGATAGAAGCATTCTCAAGTTAAGTTTGTGTTATACATTAAATAGGCTTCAGTAAATTCTATGTAAGGGGTAAATTTAATTCCATTCTTATTAGCCAAAGCAAAGTGAGTATCCTTAGAAAACTAAAATTGGAAAGTGGTAATAACTTGGCACACTGAGTTTGAGAATGTGTCTATCTGCCTGGAAAGAAGGAAATATGGAATGGTAGGGCTCTATTATGTTAATTAGGTATATTAAATATGACAGCTTCTCACTTATTTCTCCTTCAATAACATGGAGACTCACAGATTATACCCCCTTGCTCTACAAAAGGTAACACTCGTTAAAGATACTTGTACTTTTCTTAAGGTATATCCTTAATCTATGAAATTGATCAATGCCATAAAATCTTGATTCTACAGACAAGGTGAGAGGGGAAAAAAAGTCTGTTTAACAAAAACGCCCATAAGTGAAAATGTCTATAACTGACATTATTTGCATTATTTGTCAATTGCATAATTACAAACTTTATATAATTTACATCATTCTGTTTTGCAAGTTACATCAATTATGTAAGTTGTCCGTGTTGTTGTCATTTGGGAGCCGAGAAAAATAGAGAAGTTTCTGCACTTGGCACAGCCCAGTACATAGCACGGTAGAGTTAAAAAAAAATGTAGTATGTATTTTTCTAATATGCACGCCTATTTTAGGATGATTCAAATGTATCAGAATATAGAGTTGCTGGACGCCTAACTTGTAGCCAATTATCCGTTTCTAATATGAGTCCCTTTGTTCCTGTAAAGTAAATATAGCTTCTATTTGGTTATCAGAGACAGTCTTTCACTTTGAAAATGTTGCTAATGTGTTTTGTGCCTGAAGCTCTGCAGACCCTCGCAAATAAACAATCTGGATTTGTGGTTTTCACTGAGTAGGCAAATGAACCGGAATGAACCTCACTGTAAAAATAGCTGAAAAGGAAAAGGCAGCTGTGGTTTCCTTGAGTTTTATCTCCAACGAGTGTGAAGTCCGAATTAAAATGTTTTCGGTTGCATCAGAAGTCAGTTGAATGGGGTTCTAGGAAACGAAGAGCAAGGTATGGCTTCTTCAAGCAAAAGATGTATCTAAGAGAATAGTACACTGGAAGAAATACCGGTAATCTATTGTTCATTTGTAGCAGTTAATAAGTAACAGCTACAAATCTATCTGTTGGTGATGTTGTCTATTCCACCTTTTTCTACCTTACCAAGCAGTAGGTTGCGGTCTACTTTGTCAATTGCCTTACTAAAATCTAAGTATACTATGTCCACAGCATTTCGCTGGACACCCTTTGAGCACCCTTTGAATGGTGCAGGAGTATGAACAGATTTCCAGAAAACATTGCAGAGTACATTTGCACTTCAGTTTGAGATGCAGGCAACACAGACTCATCCCCAACAGCCTGGGCCTGTCTTCAACAGTGAAGGGACCCAGGGCAGAAAACATCTTGCAGCCAAGAATGCTCCACAACATTTGCACTACTCAAGTGACCCTGAAGACACAGATAAACCTCCAAATGGCCTCAACGACTCTCTAAAAGAAGGCAAATGACCAGCTGTCTTCAAGGAGGGAAAAAAGTATTTGATCCCCTGATTTTGTACATTTGCCCACTGACAAAGAAATGATCAGTCTTTAATTTTAATGATAGGCTTATTTTAACAATGAGAGACAGAATTACAAAAAAAATAATAATAATCCAGAAAAACACATTTCAACAAAGTTATACATTGATTTGCATTTTAATGAGTGAAATAAATATTTGATCCCCTATCCATCAGCATGATTTCTGGATCCCAGGTGTCTTTTATACAAGTAAGGAGCTGAGATTAGGAGCACTTTCTCATTTCTTTGTCAGTGGGAAAATGTACAAAATCAGCAGGGGATCAAAATACTTTTTCCCCCTCACTGTAAATCCTTCCATTCCCCACCATCCTGTCAAAGCTGAAGAAGCTTCTTGGATGAGAAGCAAAATGTCTTCAAAGAAAAACAAGAAAGTCCAGTTGCCTCCTGAAAAAGCACCTTTGGGGGTTCTTGTATTCTAATGACTTTTGTGCTTGTTAATTATTTCTTTTGCACAGTATACAGATGTATGTCTATATACTGTACAAAAGAGACAAGCCAAAAAGGGAACAAAGCACCTCCTGACAAGCAATCGACACCCAGATGATTAACACCAAGATTTACATCAGACCACCAATCAAAAGATAAACAATCAAGAGATAAACCCAATCAAGGAATTGCCAAACAAGCCAAACAAAGAATCTCTAAGCCCACCCCACCAACACTTGAGAGGGCAAGCCACTAAAATATAAATTGAGAGTCAACCCCATTTCTTACTAGCACTGATGATGTTACGTAGTTTTGGTAAACGTCTGCAAGAAAAACGACCAAACTCAGAGACCACCAAGGACTCTTCATTTCAAACTACAGATATTCTCCTTTATTGGTAGCTTTCTAAGCTTTAAAAATTTCAATGGATTATAAAGAAAGAAAAAAAAAAAGGCTTGATTCACTTTATGATGCCATACATTTACTGGCCATTTTCTCTGTAGCCCTGGGCATGCATACATACAGAAATGTAAAAGTGTTCTTTGCTAGGAAGCTATTATGGTCAAGAGTATCCAAAGCCACCAAAAGATCAGAGAGTACGAAGATGGATGCACCAATGCCTTCCAGGCTCAGCCATAGTTCCTTCACGCATTTCGGTTGGGAGTTTTAACCAGCCCTGATGGTGAATTTGTTTTATGATTTGAAAATGGAATAGTTTAGATGTGGGTGGGTGTTATTTTGCATGTTATGTTTTTTTTTTTTTGCTTTTAATCTTTTGTGTGCTATCCAGGAATGGGTGGCTATACAAATGGTCTAAATATAAAGAAAAGAAATAGTACATATTGTTCATTGTTCTGATGCAAAACATCATTGCACATCTTGAAACAGGAAGTAGTGGATAAAAGTACCGTACAAGCTGTATTGCATACTCAATTTTCAGGAGTGTCTTGAAGGAAGGTCAGAATGCGGTGTGCAACCAAACTTGTAAGGGAAGGGGGGAGATATTCATAACACAGGCATTTCCTGCTGAGAAGCTGCCCCCAAGGGGAGATCAAGTTTCTTTTGAGGCATCTGGGTTGGGTTTACGATTCCAACTGAGAGTGCTGCAGATGCCCTGATGCCAAGCTACGTTATTATATTTCAGAGGTGACAGCCCTCACATTGAATTGCATCTGAAGTCCAAAAGGAAGCTAGCACGGAGCTTAGAGCACAGGTATAACATGTATATAGCAATGGGTGCCAGCTAAGAGTCAAATTGCTGCGTTCCAGATTAACTGAAGCTTAAAATGAGAGCCAGTTTTTGTTTCTGAGAAAACAACAAAAAGTTTTGTATTTCATTTATAGTCATCTTCTGATTATTTCCCTCTCCTACATTCTGAAGTATATTTTGTTTTGAAAAATGCAAGGAGGACTAGGATTTTCCAAACTGCTGCATTAATCTTCATGGCCAAAAATATATGAAACTGGCATTAATCATTGTCTAGTACTCTAATAAATAAAACTACGTATTTAAAATATATGTGTAATGTTGACATGGAAATGCATGCACGACAAATGGAAGCCTTAAGCCAATGCTCTGCATGTGGCCTTCCAGTATCTTTCAGTTTCAGGTCAGCCAAGGAATAGAATAGAATGGAAGGAATGGACCTTGGTTTCTGGCAGGAAAAAAAAAGGAAAGAACAAGAAAGGGTAAAGAAGCCATACCAGTGCCAAAGATAATATATAAGCTATATTCATCTCAGGATATTTTTTAAAAAAAACACAACAATGTGTTCAATACACTAGCAAAATATTTATTTTTTTTAATAATGACATAACAGAAGTGAAAGGTTTTTGGTGTGCCACAATAATTGTAATTAAAGAAAAAAAAATGGGATTAATGGGCTCTTTATACATCTCAATGCCAAAAAAAAAAAAAGTTAGCATCAAATCTGGACTGTTCACCATTTAAACAAGTGTAAAACATAGAACCACCCCCAACATATATATAAAGAATTATAGTTTTAAAATCTATAAAAAGTAAAAAATATACACTCAGAAGTTCTAACTCTTATTCAGTCTTTCATATAAAACTGTAAACATTTATTTACACAAAGAAAATGTGTCAAATAGAAAAACTGAGCACCCTTTCCATTTTGTGGGGGGGGGAGGAGGGGTTAGGAAGGTGGGGGGGGATCTTGGACAGGTATGATTTTTTCCACACCTTCTCATCAGCCTGGGACTGCAGCCTATAAATAAAACTGAGGCAACAGGCCAGGCAAATTGAAGGGAGGGGGGGTGTCTTATTGCTCTGAAGCTGCAGCAAATAGAAAGCACAAGTGCAGATATCCCATTATGAACTGCTACTAGTGACTGATGGGAGCGCCCTGCACTTAACCCCAGCTAGCTTCCATGTTCAATGATCACTGCACGGCACTTTTAACCTTTCTACATTATGCTACATTTTCAAATTTGAAACCATTTTGTATCAACTGAAAGCAACCACAACTGAAATCAAGTTGAAGATAGCTTAAATTTTAATTTTTTTAAAAAAAAATTCTAAATTTTGAAAGGGCACAGTCAATCCAAAATTATTGCATGCTAATTTATTTAACCAGAAGGCATGTGTTATTCTTGAAACGTTAGAGATTACAACTCTCATCATTCCAGCAGCAGGGCAACTGTGTGTGGAATGATGGGAGTTGTAATCCAGGATATCTAAAAAGCAATAGGATGCTTATCCATAGTTGTATGTGCTGCATATGTTACTAAAAAGAAAAGATAAGACAGGAGGTATCTGCCTATAGCACTTAAAACACAAAGTGTCTGTTACATTTTCTTCTGACCAAAATTTCATCTGATAAATTAAGCTACAATGTTATAAAACTTGTAATTTTTTTTACTGCACCTAAAGAAGAAATAAGAATAAGTCAATTGAGAACTATGAGGTCCCAAGTACCTCCACAAACAAAAGGAAGGCACACTGGTGCAAGATTTCCAAAACACATAACAAATATACTTTATCTCCATTTCAAATCTGTTCCTCCCAGACCCCCATAATTTTCCATGGTCAAAAAAGCAACTACAAAGATTACAATATTTTCCAGCTGACATTCATTTTGGACCAAATCTTTGATTGAATTGAACTCACTGACAAATTTAACTCAATGGCTGATTTATGGAAAAGATTAGTAAATTTAACTCTAATCTAATTTACTTACAATATAGTGACACCTATATTTTATTTATTAAATTAAGCAACTCTTATAAAATGACGTTTTAAAAATATACACTCAACGCAATTTGCTTCAATTTGGACATATCAGTAGTGGAACCACTCATTAACATGCAGCTTTCACCATTATCCCCCATCAATTGTCCATCAAAACACAAACATCTCTTTAGCATGGCATACATAACTTGATCATGGATGGCAACCATATACAATGAAACAAACGGGAAAATTAAATTAAAAGTAGTGTTAAAGCAGATTGTTTTCCAAAGTGCACATTTGAGAGGAACACTGCAGATACAGTAAAATATTTTCCTATTGTTCATCTTCTTTAATCTCTTCACTGTGTTCCCCTGTCCAAAATATCCCAGATTCAAATATTTCTATACACTCTCCTGAACGTTTCTGATGCAAAGGAAATTCTAGGGTTCTCAGTTGCAGATGCTATGAACTAGATTAAGAATCCTTATAACAGGAGGTAAATAGCCCTGTTCATTAAAAAACTAAACAAAACCCCGAGTAGGAACAGAGAGGTATCTATGCATCTAAAACAACTTTCAAATTGATTACCTTTATAACTAAAGGTTAAGGCAAAAGGTGGTTTGTTGGCAAGCAGAAATTCTTTTTGGTAACACATTAAAAAATAATTCTCTTTTCCTTGCCATATAAGGAACTAATTTTACACATCCAGGAAAGTATCTCCATGGACAATGATGAATTAGCAGCATTTATTTCATTGGAGATTAGTCTTTATATTTCTAAAGAGCTTCAATCACCATTTTCCCCAAGGGTCTCACAATTTTTAATTTTTTAAAAAAAGTATAGTGTGCCCCCATCTTCCTGTGCCATAACTGCAAAATTTTCAGTCAACAACTCCCAACACATAAGACTTGCTTCACGTGCTTGACAAACACTAAATCATCCTATCTACATTGTACAGTATGCATGTGGCAACAAAAACACTGCTAATGCCCTCTGAATCAAACAGAGAAATGAGGTGTGATCAATCCAACTTTAATGAATGCAGGAAAGGAGATAGAAAAAGTGCACACACTTGATTTTAAGTCTGTTTCTCCAATTAAAAAACAACTAAAAAGAAAAAGAACCCCCCCCCCCCAATAGCAGAGTGCAAATTGCTTAATTCAGTAAGCCATAAGCCAATTAAATCCAGGTTGCCCAGTTTAGATATACAGCAACCTGCTGCTGGAAATGTTGTAATATTTAAGGATCTCCAGTAGGTAAACCCATTATCAGTTATTGTGAATTCTTATATCTGGTTTGCTCAGAAAGTTGGCACATGCTGATTAGAACAGGGGTCCTCAACCTTGACAACTTTAAGACTTGTGGACTTCAACTCCCAGAATTCTGGGAGTTGAAGTCCACAAGTCTTAAAAGTTGCCAAGGTTGAGGACCCCTGGATTAGAGGATTATCCTCCCTAACTAAGGAGGACTCCACAAAAGAACAAGGGTTATACACATTCTTTTCTTCAAAATGATGGCAAGGTGGCACTTTTACTATTTATTTTAGAGGTCCAAATCAAGATCAAAAAATCAAGTACTATCTGTAGGAAAGAATGCCTTAACACTGAACATTTAAAGCCTATCCCTTGCTGGCTTACTTTCTGCACTGCAACTGCATGGGTTCACATTTAAGTCTTCAAATGTAAAACACTGGAAAAAGTTGCATTTTTGCTGGGTTGTTTGGGGCACACACCAAACTGTTTACATATGTTGTGTTCCAGACACACTATAGAAATGACGTTTCCCCCCTAGCAAGCTGGTGCATCTTTTTCATGTTCTTAGACCCAGAAAGAAGCAACTCCAATACATTCCCACTAGAGCCTGTGAGTTTTCAATGACACAGGTATTTGGTCCAAAGATAATTTGTAATTAAAAATAAAAAATTTGACTCAGGGAAGGAAAAAAAAACCCAAATCTCATTTCAGTGATTCCCTAATAACTCGTCCAAATCATTCATCCACTCTTCTGAAGTCCTGTTTTTCAATAAAGTGTCTATGAGGTCTGTATCCCCAGTTAAGTTCTGTAGGCCATTGCCTCCAGATGGGTTACTGTAGGCAAAAGGCAATTCCTGACTAGCTGTCCTCACGGGATAACCTTGAGTACAGTGTAGATTGGTTCTGTTGGACAGCTGCTGATTCTGATTCTGGCTGAAAGTCAGATCTGGGACAGTTTGACTCATGCCTGGCAAGACCTGTTGTGCCTGGACTGGCTGTTGAGTAGGAGGGTTTGTCCGCTGCTGGGCCCCTAACGATGGCAGTATCTGTCCAGAGACAGCTGAATTCATGGGTGCCATTGTCCTGCTGGTGTTGAGGCTTACCTGAGGCATTCCTTGGGCAAACTGTTGACTGGACAACTTTAAGTGAGTTTGCTGCATATGGAACGTAGAGTTGGCAGTAAATGTCCCTAAACCATTATTTCGTTGAGCCTGATTGTTCATATTTGATATACCTTGATGCTGCCAGGATGAATTTTGGGCCCCAATTGCTGGCATTCTTGCCATCTGAGGCTTGGATAATGTAGCATTTAGTGCCCCTTTATTGTGTTGGTGAGAAATGCCTGAATTTCCTAGCGTGTTCTGTCCATATCCAGCAGGGAGAGCAGTGCCCTGAGCCAAACTGGGTTGTCTTTGCATTTGTGGCTGACCATTGGCAGTTGGATTTGCATGTTGTTGGACCATTTGGGTCATACCAGATGCCATGCTGTATAAATTGCCTCGCTGAATATTCTGCAGACCAGTATATTGATTAACTGCTCGATCTTGCTGAGTGCTGCTCGCTGAGACAGAACTGTGCCCTGTTCCAATCTGAATCATGTTCTGATTCTGAGAAAACATTCGTGGACTGCTGGAGTTGGACTGGCCTAAATTATTTACCCCTGTCATTGATGGAGATGAGCCTGCAATATAATACAAGATTACCAACATTAGTGATTTTAAAAACCAATCCAAACATTCTCAGAGTATTTGATGAAACATTTTATACATGTAACATGCAAGATAGTAATTTCTAGCTAGATTTAGGGTTTGCTGGCTTAGATCCTGAAAACGTCTGGTGGGATGGCCTTTCTCCTTCCTGCCAGCCTTCTGAATAGCCTCTTTTAAATGTCTTGTGTGACTCTGGAGGCTAAGGGAAAAAGTCAAAAATTAAACAAAGGCGGCTTTACTGAGCATCTCTTTCCTTCTATCATAATGGCATGCTTTATGTGTCATACCCATCTCAAAAACCATGACTTTTCATAAGATTTACTGTTTTAAATGCAACTGGTTAATCTGGAATATATTGTACAAAGATACAACTATTTAACAATGTTGATTTCTGTTCCAACTAGTTACATGGGCTTTCCGTTTAAATCCGTTTCAGATGGAAGATTCATTTACATTGCATATTTACATGTGAGTCAAGTCACTATTAGCCATCCTTAAATACATATGGATGTAGGAAAGCATCTCTGCAAACTGAACCATACATGCATATTGCTCCAGTGCTTTTCATAATTGTTAACAGTTGTTGAAATGAGAATTCCAAAAGCTGTTTAAAAGATGTGTTCATGGTGAAAAAGCATCTGTATTAACCAGCTCTTAGTTATTAAGATAAGCAGGATTACAGATACTGATAAGAGTACATGGAAGATAGCCTATGCCACCACTATTACTCTACTAGCTGAAAACCAGAACCTATAAATTGTGAACCCACCAAAAGAGTGGGGATTGCAATGTATAAGCCACATTAGGAAGCAGGAATAATTTACTACTCATTTTCATGCATTTATATTTCATCTATAACGTAATATAAAATTGCTTCTCAACTATTCAGAAGAGTTCCAATTCTATTGAAAAAGGATTCACATGGCACAGGGGAATAGGAATTATAGAGTTATAAAGCAATTCTGCAAATCACTTCCAGCTTGTACAACCTATGGATACTCTAGCTATGAAATACACACACACACACGCACACAAACACACTCCTGTGAGAAAGCAGGGATATATTTAATGATTAAATATGCAAAACAATACAGAGTCCTTGCTGAATGACTTGTTCAGCAATCATTAAAAGCACTGATGGTGTTCAACCTATGACTGATCCTTGAGTTGTGATCACCGCAGCATCTCCTTTGTCATATGTTTGCTATTTGGGTGTTCAGTAACCAATTGTGATATTGTAGCATTTCTGTGGTCATGCAACAAGCAAATCAATGGGGAAGTTGATAGGTTGCAAGTGACAATCATTGACCAAGGGATGGTGTGACCATGTGAGATTTGCTTAATGACGGCAGTTGAGATTGCCAAAACTGCCACTGTAACTCATAGTGGTCATATGATGTCATGTCTTATGATTGCATCACTTAGCAACAGAATTCCCGGTTCCAATTATCATCAATAAGTGAGAACAAGCTGTATTGGACAATGTTTGCTGGGACACTGGCAGAGGCATTTTGGTAATAATGAAGAATGAAGCAGCACTGAGATCAGGACAACTTTTTCTATTACAAATTTATGCATTTAATTATGAATCTAATTCTTAGTCCAGAGCTAGGAAACAGGGAGGTTAGCAGACAAAATGGGGAATATGACACAAATTTCCTGTTAGTGCATGTTTGTTTACAATTACTAAACAAGGCCACAGAGAAAGATAATGCGAGGGCAATTCGGAAATAAACCTCCGTTTGGTTATCAGTAATAGACACTCACAGATACAGAACTTTATTACACACATTAGAAAACTACAACATTAATTACTTTTTGACATAATCGCCATTCAAACTGAAGCACTTGTCATAATGTCTTACAAGGTTTGAAATTCCTTAATAGTAGTTGCTCAGCACCGAATCTGGGCTATGTGTGTATGTGTGTGATCATAAACATCCCAATGGAACTGCTTCAAAAGTTCTTGGGTGCGTCTAGCGGTGTGCGGGCAAGCATTATCGTGAACCAACACCACACCGGAAATCAGAATGCCCCGACGCTTGTTATGGATGGTTCATCTGAGTTTTTGTAACATTTCACAGTAGACTTCTGAATCGATGGTCGAACCACGCTCCATGAACTTCATTATCAGTACTCCTTTGGCATCTTCACATCTGGCAGAATTTTCTATGGCACCACTTCCGGTGTAGTGTTGGTTCACGATAATGCTCGTCCGCACACCACTAGATGCACCTAAGAACTTTTGAAGCAGTTCCATTGGGATGTTTTTGATCAACCTCCCCATAGCCCAGATTTGGCACTGAGTGACTGCTACTAAGGGATTTCAAACCTTGTAAGATGTTATGACAAGTGCCTCAGTTTGAATGGCGATTATGTCCAAAAATAATGTAATGTTGTAGTTTTCTAATGTGTATAATAAAACTTCTGTATCTGCAAATGTCTGTCATTAATAACCAAATGGAGGTTTATTTCCGAATTGCCCTCGTAATAGTGCATTTTCTTCCATTCAAGAGGTAATTTCAAAAGTACTATTCATGTAGAAGGATCTATACTTATATAAAGATACTCTTGTTTCAGACAGTGTGCTGTTTCACATTGAAAAATTAACTTAAGACAAATGAACAGTTTTAAAAGTCTTAGAAAACAAACAGGAGTGTGACAATTATAATTATTCCAAAGAGCGTCTAAGAGCTTAGCTTTCAATGTGAAAGGTTTGTCTAAACCTATATCTTGTGTGCTTACAAGGAGAAATATCAGTTAATATTACAGAAATATTAATAGTGTTCCTAACAATGTAACATTCTTCATCCACATATGCTGCAATATAAAGAATTGTTACTTTTGTGGAATGCTGCTTTTAAAACCTTAAGAATTTAAAAGCATGACATTTACCATCTGTGGACTTGATTCCTACCCCCTTGATACTTGCAAGGATCTGGGGGAAGGAGGTATGACAACTTGAACCTGGCAGAGGCCCTGAAAGAATCTGAGTGGTGTGCCCCTTACTCAAGCTCTCCCTGGATCTTGCTGTTTTTGACAACGATCACCCAGTTTTTAACCTTCCCTTTTGGGCTGCTGAGTGAGTGACGGGGATGCAGAATGGCCGGGGGATGCAAATTGTCTGGACCCTCTTAAGTCAGGGTTTAGATCTGGACTGATTACTGAATGGCCTTTGTCCCTGTGATGGGTAATCTTTGCTGGAACCTGGGCAGGTGTAGGCCATCCCACTGACCCTGAGATGCTTTTGGATTGCATGCAAAGACTGGACGTTCTGTTTTGGAGTGATTCTAATCCTTCCTGAGTAAGAACTTCCACTTCAATTTGGCGTTTGTGGAGAGGAGAAAATGATCTAGTGACTACTCCTGCGTGGGATGGTGTAGAATTTGATTCTCTCCACTTCTCTATTTAAAATTTACATAATGCTAAGACAGGTCATTTGGTCACAAGTACCAGCAGTATGCTCATTATTTACTGTTATTGGGGGCCTGGGGAAATCCTGATGGGCTGTTAAGACTGGATAAAAGAAAACAAGCTTAAATTCCATCCAAAGGAGGTGAAATTACTATTTGTTTACCATGGTTCTCTGCCACCTATAATAGTAGAACCGCCCTGGCAGAGTAAGGCCATGTTTGGGTGACCTTCTTGGGCGAGTAGCACCTGCTAAAAAAGTCATGATCGAAAGTTCTTCTCTTCAATTTTCATTAATGTCCCCATTAAGGCCTGAACCAGAATGCAAAACTCTTCTTACTCATTACCGCTTACTTATAAGAGTACAATGCACATTATTTGGGGCTGCCTTCAAATGTATCTCTTTGATTCATCCAAAACATCTCTCTCAGGAGAATGTTGACATTGTGCAGGAAGTATGTGCATGTGGGAACAATAGAGATATCTTCCCTTTGATAAAAGATTGACTAAATTGGGAACAGCTTTTTGGAAGCTACCGGTAGTTAAAATCTAATTATCTTGGAGGGCTTTGGGGTGAATGTCATATTGTCAGGGCTGTTATATGATTTTATTAACTTGAACAATTAATCGGCATTTTATTGTGGATATTTTAACTGTCTATTTTGTAGCTATTGTCAATCATTAGGAATCACACATTGTAATGGCACATGTATTTAATAAATAATAGTATAAGACTACATTTTGAGTACAAAAAAGCATTTTAAATATCTCATGTCCATCCCAGTTCTTCATATTTCAACCCCACATCCCCCTTTACCTGGAAACTGGCCAACTTGCTGTTGATATGTGTTTTGTGTCTGATCTTGGTACTGAGGAGGTGGTCGTGTCAAATGTCTTTGGAGTTGTTGCTCCTGATGATGCCTTTGTTTCTCCTAAAATGGAAATCCAGGTTATCAGAAGAATGTTTTTCCACACAATGCATCGGATGTAAAGTTTTATTGGTGTACCAACTAATTACTGCTTTGACTGTAATATAACGCTAATTTTAGAAAATAAAATATACTTCATATGCAAAATGTAATGTCTGCCATTTAAAACACGCAAAACAAAAAAAGAACAGAAAATGTTCTGAGAAAAAAAACTTTATGTGACAATATAATTAAGGTGAAGAAATTAATATAAACATTCCTTGGGTCAAGCTTCATTGGGAATGACTACCCGCATGCAGTTCTCTTAGGAGTCTGCACCTGCCTTCTTCCAGTGTCCTTTTTCAACTCAATGTTCAAATAAGATTTATTAATCTCTGGTTTCATACCAGAACCACAGAACTGCTTAACAGAAGCATTAATACTGTATTTTACTATATTTGTCATTGTGAACTGTCTACATAGCCTATTATTTTGTATTTGCTCTTTCTAAAAGCAATGACAGATGATAGGGATTACAATTAGATACTGGCCATCTTTCTCAACAACTATCACTTTGATTAGTCTGCTTTTTTATGATTTTCCTTGTCCAGCTGAAAAATCAAGAAGAAGCAGCAGTTTTTGCAATAAACGCATCTGTAATAATCTTATTCAGCATTCTAGCAAGTGAACTGTTCACTTCTGGTCTAAGGCAACTCGGTGTGGCCAGGCGCCAAGTTGTCTCAGGACAGCCAATTCGCCACAGGGACAACGTGCTGTGGGCAGCCAGAAGAAAAGCTGGGTGGGCAGGCAGAACAAGTAGGTGGGCAGAGAGCAGAGCTGCAGCTGGGGGCTTTCCACTGGATGGGGAGCCGGGCAGGTGGGCGAGCAGAGCAGCGGTGACTGGAGGCTTCCTATTTTCACCCCCCTCCCCACATGGCTGTTGCCATTGCACCGAGCTCTGGGCCATTTGGAGTTTGGCTGCAGCAGCAGGGTGTGTGAAAATGGGGCACATCTAATGGCCCAAATGCTGCTGCAGCCAAACCATCCAAACTCTGAATGGTCAGGAGCTTGTGCAGTGGCAGCAGGGGTGTGTGAAAATGGGGGGAACCCCTGGCCGCCGCTCCACCCACCCGCTCGCTTGGCTCTGCCTCTGGCGGGAAGCCCCTAGCTGCTGCTGCCACTCTGTGCTCTGCCTACCTGCTTGCTTGCCCAACTGGCTCTCCCTCCAGCTGTCCACGATGAGTTGTCCCCACAGCAAATCGGCTGCGTTGATTTGTCCTGTAACGACTTGGCGGCAGTGAATTGGCAGAGGCGAGTTGGCAAGTGGTGAGCTGTCCCATTCTGTCCCCTTCTCCATCATTTCCCTTCCTGTCCCTTATTAGGGTTGTCCTAACTTGGGCTGTTTTTGAACTATTCACTCCTAAAGTTTCTTCTTATGTTTCTTAACACCCCCTTTATCAGCAGAAAAGTGCAGTTCTTGTTATATAAGGATCCATACTCTCCCCTAAATTCTGGAAACAGGGATCATGTAGCCATTATCCTGCCCTTCTCTTTAGATCAATTTTCAAGGCAGCTCACAACAGTGAACAACTGTCCCCATGGATGTCTGATTGCAAGTCTTCCTAATTCTTTTTGAATGAAGGGCATGTGTTTGAGAAGTGGGTGGGAATCCTACAGAATTTGCAATAAGCAGTACTAGGCTACTCTCATGTGGCAAACATAATATGCAACCAGATTAATTAATATAATCAAGTACTGAATATTCCACTACATTGGCACAATCTTTGTCACAGCAGTATGTTTTACCTGTTCAGCAAGAAGTTGCCTCTGTCCCATTAGAAACTGTTTGTGTTGTTCTATTAACAACTGCTTTTGTTGCTGCTTATGATCTAGTAGCATCTGGTGCTGCTTCATTACAGCTGCTTGCTGCTGACTGTTGAGATAAGCTGCATTACCATGGTTACCTGCCATGGAAACATTAGGAGGCTGTGCATTTACACCAGTGCCAGGAACAGAAACGGGAATGCGAGGAACGCCAGCAGAATGATTTTGATCCTAGAAAAGCAGAGACAGATATTGGCTATGCAACAAGGACACCACTTGAGAAAAGCAGTATCTCCACATTTTTAATGACCACAAATAATGGAAAACTTCTTCAGTGTTTATTACTGCACAGCGATTCATGGAAAAGTGTAATCCAGCATAACTCTGTTTCTAAATGAAATGCCAAGGTGTATGAAATGGCTTATACAGAAGAGCTGCCACCTACAAGTAATCTGAAAAGGTTGCAGAGGCAGTTCAATAAAGATCAACTTCCATGTAGACTCTTTCAATAGGGAAAAAAATATTTAAACGTAAATAACGGAAACTTTTCAAATAGATTCCTACTTCTAGTTTGAATGAGAATAACAACACATCCTTCCTAAAACTGGCTATTTCAATTGTAGATTAATATGGCTAAGAGTTGAATACCCATAGAGTACAGGTTCCAAAAATTCAGCTCAGGCAGAAATTGTTCACAGTCAATATTAGAGTCTTAATTGATGCAACTACTTTGGATAAAATTAGTTATTTTGGATTCAGAAAAATAAGGTTTCTAATTGGTTTCTGAAGCAGACCTTGATTTACTTTGGATCTCCCCAAATGTTAATATTTTGAATGAATGTTTTATTCTACTACTAAATTAAGTGATAACAAATTGTGTGGTTTCCTTTGTTAAATTTATGGCTGTAGGTCATATCAAGAATGCAGTGTTCTCCCTTTTCTTTTAACTTGGCTGTAGAAACTCTTACTTAAGCCATCAAAAAAAAATTAAGATTTTACAAGAGGTAGAATATAAGATTCTCCTATATATAGACAATTCACTGGTTTTATAAATAAAGCAGTGATTCCCAGTCTTTGTTTCATTTTTCCATTACATAACTTTGTTATCGTATAAATGTGAATAAATCAGACTAATTCCACTAGTTTGGTAATAATTTTGATATGCTTAAATGTTTGGTTTTATGATATGCCTCGATCCTTTTGCTGATCTTGGCATAAAAGTTAATTCTTGGTTAGGAAAGAAAAATGAAAGAGGTAAACCAACGGTTTAGAATTTCTTGAATATTTAGAGTAGGAGAAAATTGGGATAATTTAATTCTGATGTATACCTACGAACTCTTTCTATTGACATTCCTTTATGTACTTTCAAGCAACTTTATATGCCATTAAAATAACTTTCTTTGAATGAGCACCTGTGAGATCCTACCATGCATTAATTACCATTACATGTTGAGAAAGATGGATTTCACTTTCAAATTTAGCAACGGGCAATTTGATTTCTGTTTCTGGCTAGAACAAGGAATTCCAGAATTCAGTTCCTCCACTGGCTTAAGTGGAAAGCTATAATTTGATCCCATTGAAATTTTGCAAGTATTAGGATTCTTGTTTGTTCAGGGATCAGTTACAATATACAGAAACATACAGCACATAGTAAGATACAGAAAACATTGAGCTACAGTTATATTGTTGACCCTTTAATCCAGGGACCGATACTGGGAAGCCGTATGCCAGAAACTGGTCTGTGCCAACAAGAGAAGCCCCATCCATGGGATGCGAGCAGCACGTGAAACCACGCCCTTCTTGTCCACGGAATCGGTCCCTGGTGCCCAAAAGGTTGGGGGTTGCTGCTTTAATCCATGAGATGATCCATTATGGGATTAAAAACAACTGCTAAATCAATGTTGGGGACAACGGGCAAGAGATGGTGAACAAAATTCTGGCTCAATGAATATCCCAACTCTGATATCAATATATAAATAACACTCAGGCAAGAATACATCAAATTTTGGCATGCTTTGAGGTCGGGATAGTTTTAAATTGCCATTCTGATTACTTTCTTCCAGAATTTGCTAGGTAGTATTGAATCAAAGGTTGCTCTTAAATCATCCGGCATTAAATAACCACAAATCAAATTTCATTGAGAGTAAAACTAAACTCCATTATCTTTAGATTTCCATGAGGGAGGAGAAAATTAGGCATTATAATGGGGAGAAAAAACTGTGACATTAATTCCCATCAAAGCATAGCATTAAAGTCACCAGTGAATATTGACACTGAATTTGAAAATTGAGAAATTAAGTCAAGGCAATCCCACTTATTGTAAATTTGGGATGGGATACAGATACTTATCAGGAGAAATCTAGTTGTATTGATTTTTAAGGGAATATCAATAGTTGGTGACTCACAATAAGAAATCAAATACCTACATACCTATTATGCTATTGTGTAACTTTATGCAAAATATAGAAAAAGAGTAAGCCAGGGGAATTACAAGTCAGGTCACAGACTTGTGTGTAAAATCATTTGCCCATCATGGATTTGTAGACTGACGCTTTCATATAACATTATTTTTGTAAGACAGAAAAAATATAGTCCAAATTATTAGCCTTAACTGCATTTTGATCACATCCAACATTCCCTGATAATAGTATCAGTACAGCATCTGGAAAAATGTATCTTATTTGCCGTAATGGACTATTAACATATATTGTCAGTCAATATTTGATGTGGTTTTTTGTTGTCAGAGAATAAGAAAGAGGTATTTTGAGAAATCTGAAGTAAACTCTTTGGAGCTGTTTCATCATAGAATGTTTCAGGCTTCTTTTTCTTTCTCTATTTAACTTTTAATGCAATCAAGTATGTCTCTGTGTTTGTGTATTTCTTCTTTTGTTAAATAGATTTAATAAAATATTATGAAACAATTCTCTATTCTGTTATCTTATTATAGGGGCAATAGGAGAACAGGAAATTGAGCTTATGCGAGAAGTATACTTGCAATGAATGCATAATAGTAACAACATGTATGTTAGTGTGTCATTCAGTAGAAGATGGTAAACACAGATATGTTGTTCAACATTTCCTTGCTTACCACAAGCATTTCATTCTTGCAGGTAGACAAGGGGTAGGTATCTAATGAAATTCCACAGTAATTGAAACAGAAATAGTTTCCCTGCCCTCAATTTCCTTTGGTCTTGAATATCCACTTCATTTAACATTTAATGACCTGTGTAGGGTTATGGTCATAATTATGAAGGTTTTTCACAATTAATAAAAAGCATATAAATGGAGCTTTTTCACAATTAATAAAAACTATAATCAACTGCCAAAATTCAATTTTGTTTTCTACAAAACTAATAATCTTCATTGGAAAAAAGTTCCTGTCAGAGTCAAGCTGTCAGAAACAAAGAATTTCCTTAAAATACATTATATCCTGGTTAACAGATTTTGAATTATATACCAATCCTGAAAGAACAATTCAGAAAGAAGAAGAAAAAAAACTACATATAGAGAAAACCTTTTACACTTTTTTTTCCCATGAAAACATCATTTTTTTTAAAGGACAAGGTATATCATGCTGCTTTTTAAGCGAAAGGTTGATTTTAGTAATTCCATTATCCTCTTAGGATCTTATAAGGCTATCTACAATATATACTATGAAATTAATTAGCCTGCTTATTCAGCTTATTCGGCCCATCTCATTTACTATACCCAACCAGCTGCTAAAAACACTTACCTGACTGTGTGGTACTAAAGGCCTATAAGCAATATTTCCAGACTTCTTCATTACAAATATGCCACTCTGCTCATCACTCATATGAGGCAGTGTAGGCTGCTGATGTTGCTGAAGGTATGCTAACATAGAAGCCTTGTTTTGTCCAGGCACTGTGATTCCTTGCCCACATTCTTTGTAATGTGAAAGAGGTTTTGTATTCCCATAATCTAGCACAGAGTTTTGATTAGATGCAGAATTCTGATTTATGTTGCTTGGCTGATGGCTTAACATATTTCCACCGTGATAGTTACCTCCTGTCCTAGGAGAACTCTTGTTTGGCATATTGGGTATCAGGAGTTTTTGGTTACTGAAGTCTTGCTGATAAACAGAAGGGCTAGTTGGATTTTCCATAGAGTATGGGAGAGCCAATGGACTGTGAGAAGGTCCAGATTGCTGCCAGCTAGAAATTTGACTGGATGGGTGGACCTGCTGTTGGTTCTGCAACAATTGATCTCTCTTTTGCTTAGCAGCTATTTGCTGTAGCTGTTTAGCAGATGACATCTCTTTGGCACTCCCTGTAGTTTGTCCAGATAACAATGAATTAGATAGAGGCCTCTGAACGTTTTGGGCCTGGCTTGCTGGTTGCATTATTGACTGGTTGGGATTTTCAGACATGGATTGATTTGAAGGCTGAAACATTGTTTGAGAATTACTAACTGCTGGAGAAGCAGCAGTAACAGGGACAGAAGATGTACCAATAAATGTTGTGCCAGCAGAGGTAGATCTGACTTGTGGAGACCCTATCTGTTCCTGTTCAAAGTTTGCCGGGGAAAATTCAGTCTTTATAATGATATCTTGTGGTAAAGAAGTTTGTGCAGTTGAATTTGAAGGATCAGCATCCTTCTTTTCCTCAAAGTCTTCAGTAAATAGGTCTTTCATATCCTCATCAGGCATTGACCTGTTTAGCTCATTCATTAGCTCCTCCCACTCTTGGTCATTAAGGTTAAGATCAGACATCAAATTGTTTTGTGATATAGAACTTCCTGGTCCCGTAATCATACAAGGAAGATCATCTGGTTCTTGTTTGAGTTCTTTGTTAATAATCATAGCAAATGAGTCATCAGCATCACTGCTTCCATTCAACTGAAGGCTAGAATGTGGCAGATCCTTTTTGCTCATTCCATCTAGGCTTATGGAATGTTTTCCATTAAGCTGTAAATTTTCTCCACTGGAAGGTTTGCTATCAGGCTGATGTAGAGGGGATACGGGAGGTATTCCATTGGAGGAGCCACTCAACCCACCAAGACCATCATCATGACACAATTTCTTGGGCACAGGAAATATGTCCCCAAAGCCATTTGGCTGGTCGCCATGTTGAGGTGAAACAGAATTATCAAGTTTCCTTTTTACAGTTTCATGAAGCTGCTGAAAGAAAAATAAAGTTAAGTTAGTTTATTGGTTCAAAGTGTGAATAACCTAGTTTTTTAGGCTAGCAACCTTCACAGAAATACAATGGATTAACACTTCTTTCAAGCAGTTGTTTAATTTACATGATTAAAAATTATGCACATTCTGCAGTAAGAGAAATGAAATATGTTTGCACTATGTAAAAATATATTTTTCAAAATAAAATATTATTTTGGCAATATTGACCAACTCTTTCACTAGACTTTATTTCCAGGGCTACTACTAGATTTCCTTGTAGCCTAGGTACTCAATGAAAAATCTGAGGTCATCCAAATTATAGTAATGCTGAAATGCCTTTGAACTGATCAGACGTGGAATGGGAGATGACTGAAAACATCATATAAAAGGGAAAAATAAATATTGATAAATACCAGTAGTTTAAAAACATATAAGCAAATATTTTGTACTTTTAAAGACTTTATGCTAAATGAGGCAACATGATTGCATACGATTCTTCCACAAAACACTTTTGTGATGAACAATTGAACAATTACACTCACAACATGGTCTTGGATTCAATTAGTTCTAAAATTCTTATTCAGGCTTTAAGGACAGAAGAGAGTGTACTATAAGCATGGGTTCACATATGACAGAGCTAACATGGAGTTCTCTATTGAGAAAGCAAACTGCATGCAATATAAATTCAGCTGTAAACATCTACTTTCTGGGGATAATCCAAACTAAGGGGCAAACTTCAACAATCAAATTTGTAGAAATTGTGCTTTCATAATTAAAAAATAAAGAAAAACTTCCTTCCAAACCCCAGCTTCTAAAAAAAAATCAAAATAATATTTTTTAAAAAAATTTTAAAAATTAAATAATAAAAAACTTGAACTTTCTCTCTTCAGAATTCTTTAAAAACATGTTTATTTTTATTTCTTTATATTTATAGGTAGCAGCGGAGTTGCTTTTCTAGAAATAACAAATATCTTGGCACAAACAGCATCTGTCTCATAAGTCAAGCCTTAATGTACCTGATGCTTCAAAACCTCTATCTTCTTTTTAGTAGAATTCTACCCTCTCCTTTGATACTAGATATAAATTTTATAGATGTTCATTTGAGATGTTCCTAAATCTGGCATGGGCAATTAAAATAGATAATTGTACTGGAAACAAAATATGAAACTACTATAGTAAAAGTCATTTCGATCCTGTTGTCAGATAACGTCATATATATTTTAATCAAAGAAGCCATCTTTATATTCTTTCCTTTTACATCTAACAGTCTCGATCTTCAAATAATGTCCTAGAACTTGATTTCCTTCCCCCCCCTTATCATAACAAAGCCTTAAACAAGCCTCTTTTGTAAATCCAATATAGGAAAATTTATCCAAGCCATCTCTTGGTTTATTTGTATACCCCTTTTAACTATGAAGATATCCAGCCAGTTTCTTTTGTATGTCCTGTATGTAGCATATTTTTCATGTCATTGTTGCCGCCTGTCATTTTAAAATCCACTTTCAAGTAGGTTTCAATCTTGTTAGGTAAAACTTGATCTTCTTCCCTGATGTCTTTTAAACACAGTCTTATCTACAGAGGCAGACACTCTTAAAATTAACTTCTAGGTGCATTGTTCAAACATATGTCAAATGTTAAAATATATTGCTTCATTGTGTATTATAAGTTGAATTTAAGTGTTCTTTTTTTAAATTGTAATCTTTAGTTCCCTCTAGTGTCCAGTTTTTAAAATCTTATGCCATTTTTTAAAAAATTCAAAAGAGAAGCATTTTCCTACAGGAAATATTCTTATAATTATTTACAAAAATCTTATTTCAAATTTATCAGGACCCAACTCTTTTGCTGTTTATTCCAAATTTATATTTAAGTCCTTCAACTTAAAAAAAACACACACCATTTTTCCCGGTAAAGACTGTAGGAAACTCATATTATGCTATCAAACTCAACTACTGCTATAAAACATATTGATTCAAAGCAATTTCCAAAAATGATTAGAAAAGAGGTATGTGAACCTATTGTCCTTTTGAAAGTACTGACCCCCATTTGAGCTAGATGATTGCTCCTTCATCAACCAGAGCATTAAATTTACTGCAGATTTTTGTTCTGCAGTCTCTTCATGAGGAGCAATTGTCTGCAACACTTGTGGGCAATCTCAAGTCCTCTCCTTATCCAGGGAGGAATTATGAAGAGCAGGAGGTTTTCAAGAAGAGGTTTGTCCAGAATAGTATAGGCCAGGGGTAGGCAACCTTGGCTCTTTTATGACTCGTGGACTTCAACTCCCAGAATTCCTGAGCCAGCATGGCTGGCTCAGGAATTCTGGGAGTTGAAGTCCACGAGTCATAAAAGAGCCAAGATTGTCTACCCCTGGTATAGGCCTTCTGCCTGAGGAGGGGATTGGACTAGAAGTCCCTTCCAACTCTGTTGTTCTATTTTTTATATGACACTCATTTTTGTATTCAATCCACATTTCTTCATCACCCATTCATTCTTGATCTTATCTGTTTCACCATACATACTTCTGAGATAATCTACCCCCATAGATTCAACTCACTTTTATGTTTTACTTGATGTACTCAACTCTCATTTCCATGTACCAAAGTGGGCAGAAATATACACAGTTTTCACCAAACGTTCTTCTAAAGTTTCTGGGACCATTTCCAAGTTATCTGCATGACTGATGTTATTACAACATGGGTTGTGCTTTAAAAGAACTGGTAATAATCCGGCCAAATCATACTGAGCCTCAATCAGAATGGAAAGCTAGATCTTGAGCCTCATTGAAGATAAAAATCATGAAATAATAAACTCAAGTAAATACTTGTATACTATGTCAGGAAGTGAAATAGCTGCCTTAACACCTATTAAACTATTCAATAAAAGATCAGGAAGAACATTATTGGACAAGGTTTATGACCCATTGTTTATATAGAGCATAGGAAATAAACAGAATGAGTCTGAACTCTTAATAAATAAATATTAAGTTTATTAAAATTCTACAAGTATAATTTTAAAAATATAACAGTGGCCTGGTTATACGAAAGGTAATTTCCATGACCAGAATACTGCAATTCAAGCATATGATTTGCTCAAAGGGAAAGTTTAAAGGCAGAACTTGCAATGCATGTTAAAGAAATGCATATCTGCACAGTAACAAATTCAAATGAATGGAATCAGTAATATTGCAGAGCAGGGCTCCCCAACCGCTGGTCTATGGACTGGCACAGGTCCGCGGCATGCCAGCAGCCGGGCCACACAAACAAGCAAAGTCCCATCTGCGCGACGCAGGCAACATACAAAACCACGCACCCTCCAGTTTGCAGAAAAACCTTTCTCCATGGAACCGATCCTTGATACCAAAAGGGTTGGGGGCCACTGTTGTAGAGTATATTTGAATTAAAATCAATGGAAAAAAGAGTAAAACCAAAACTGTTTTACTTTACTATACAGGTAGTCCTTGGGATCCGACTATAATGGAGAATGTCCATTAAGGTCACATATCACAACAGTTGTTAGGTGAAACGTATTGCCTACAACCCCCCCCACCCCGGCTCTCCCCAGTGAAATGTAAAATGAACCTACAGATCCTTAAGGGGAGTATGTGGTGCCTCCTGGATGGGGAGGCTATTGAAGGCCTAGTACAGGCCCAAGCCCATCTGCTCTGGCTCTCCCAAGGCCTCCCCCACCCTCGGGATGCCCTGTGCTCCACTTTCACTTTGGCTCCCAACTGGCCTTTTACTATTCCTATCGGGTCTTGCCAGGGCTTAGGCCTGATTCCCAGCCCTTAAGGCAGAACACCCTTGTCACAACTTACCTTTTCAAGAGCTCTAAGGCTTTCTAGAGTGCTAGGATAACTTTATTCTTTCTGCGGCTAACTTTTTGTCCTGCCCACAAAATGGTGGCTGTGTTACGGTCACCACCATACATCCTGGGGACACATGAGATTTGGAATGCTTCTGAAGGTAAGTGTGAGGCGTGATGGGCATGTGGGGAGAACTAGGGCTTATTTTTGGGGTACGTCTTACTTTCGGGGAAACATGGTATCACCTAGTTTGGTAATGACATGTCTGCAAGAAAACAACGAAAATCAGAGAGAACCAAAGATCCCACAATTCAACCCTGAGCTGCAAATATTCTCTTCTATTAGTACTGAATGAACAGTCACAAGATTCAGTCTGTTTCTATATTCATGAAACATCTTTATTAATATTTTATTAATATTGTGAAAGATTAGAAAGAATGCTTACCAAATTTGTAGATGGCAGAAAATAATCAAATAGTAGTAATAATAGGACAATTCAAAATAATTTTGACAGTTAAATAGTGAAGCTCAGAGACTTCCGGTTTGACGTCATAGCGACATGGACGCAGAGATGCAGGGATCTGCTTTCCATGCCCAATTTTACCCTGCAGGGAGCCCTAAAAGGGCCTAAAATCACACTGGAAAGGTGATGAAGAAGGAGGGGTGCCTCGTCGATCACGGAGAGACTGCAGTCGATCCGTTTGATCCGAGGAAAGCACTCCAAACCGGCAGGGGAAAAACTGGCTGCACTCCTGTGGCCAGCCTCCAGCTACTGATAACCGAAGAAAGAAGCACTAATTAATAGATCGTAAATAGCGTGTATGGAACTGGGTGAGAATATTGATCCTTTCTTTACTATTTTACAACTGGATTTCCTAGAAAAGGTTCCCAAGAAGCTAAAAACCTCCGAACGCGAGAAGGAAGGGGATTGCAGCCCCACCCTTCCAGAAGAACAGAAGCGGCGTTTTATTTTTTTTTATGGGGGATAGAAACATTTAACACTGAAGTGGAAGTAATATAAAGCTATAGTTTTGACAAATTTGAGAAATGAGAAAATTGTTAACATTTTCTCTTTGAAAAAATACTGGGGTGAAATATCAACCTTCTATTTTAAGAGTCGGAAAATGGATATTGAATGACATCTAGTGGTGGACTAGAGTATAACACCACAGCTGCAATGACTGACACAGACCTGGCA